GCATCAACATGTCGCCGCTTGTCCCGCCAATTCCGCCCGCAATCATGCACTAGTACAACCAGTTAGCCATGGGAACCAGCCCATTGAAAGCCAGATAACGATATCTGAGATTTTTCGTACGTGTAGATAGGGCGGCCGGACCGCCTCCTGGGGCTCTACATGCTGTGCGTGTGTTGTGTTCATCCTCTCGCCTACGTCCACGAGCCGGCCATCCTGGAGACCGCCCAGACCCATCCCTGAGCTCGAACCCGACGAAGATGCAAGGCTCGATGAGTCTGAGGCCGCGAAGAAGTCTGTCATCCGCGACACCAGACTCATCGCCTTCTGCCTGCTGTAGTTGTCGCCGCCGTCGTCTTCGTAGTCGTCGCTGCAAGTCGTAGTCGGGTTGCAGCTGTGGGCAAGGTATTGCGGGAGGCAGCAGTTTCAGCAGCAGCAGCGAGACAGGCCAACAATCAGCCAGACAGAATTCTATAACAGACAAATAACAGCCATCCGAGCAGAGAAAGAATGAAATCAAACCAAAAGAAATTCCAACTTCTTCGTCTTCTTTTTCGTTCTTCTTTTTTTTCGACCTTTTTTTTTTTTTTAGAAATCAAAAATTAATATTTGCTGACTAATCTTTAAAGGATGATAGTTTATCCGTCTTACTAAGCAAATTCGACCAATCACAGCGCTTCTTCGCACGTTGGAGCCAGAAAATAGTCGAATTTGATATTCGATTTATCGGCGTTAAAAGACGAAGGATTACAGGGTAGAAGTCGGAGATAGCAGCTGGCGATGGCGTGTTTCTCCGTCTTTTCAGCATCTGGTTGGTTAGTTCGGGTGGTGGTTGTGGGATAGATAAGTAGGTGGTAGTATATTCATTGATTTTGATAGACAAAAGCTGGAACATCAAAGGAGAAAGCAAGACAAGGGAAAAGAAAGATAGCTCATGACACCTCTTCATTAGCATTAGGTACACAGGTACGTCCATATTCTTTTGTCATTTGGTTGCGAGGCCGTGGCAGATGGGTTCGTGTAAGGGGGAATGTAGCGTAGCGTATAGCATAGCATGAGAGGGGGGAGGGGGTTATGTATTTTGCAGGAGGGAAGCACGATTCTATTTATTGTTCGTGGCTTCGGAGGAAGAATCTCAGACGGCCGATACTCCATGCTTGAATGATTTTGTCCTTTTTTTTTTTATTGGGTGGTTTCTCTTGTCCGGGGATAGATAGGGGGAGGCCTGGTAGCAGAGTGAGGCCAGGGAGTTTTCTCTTTTTTTGGGGAGTAGATATGAAGATATGGTCCACGTAGCGTCATTTGATAGTGTTTTGTTGAAAACAGCTCGAACACAGATACTATAAAGTATGTATGTGATAAGCTTCGACGGAGGCCAAAAAAAATAAGCTGACTGCACCGCCGCCATGTCTCGAGAACAAAAAAGCATCTCGTCTACTGCGGCTTCTTGCCGGGACCCTGCTGCTGCTGGAACCGAGCGAGATATGGCTTCAGGTCGGTAACGGTGTACAGCCGTCGAACGGCATTCTTGACAACCTCCCATCCCTGGCGGACAGCTGGCGGGGTACTCTGGTGGGAGAGCATGGCATCGATCCTGGCCGTCGAATGGGCGACCACGGCCTGCACGAACGAGCTCTGCGTGTACCGAGAGCGGAAGAACCAGAAGTAGATGACGAGCAGCAGCCAGCTTCCACTGCTAAAGGTCAAGGCGGTGAAAATCAGTCTGATCAGCAGCGAGAGCTCCAGGGCGGCAACCATGGCCATGCTGGTGTCGTAGTATGTCTTGACGAAACGGCCGATCTGATCTGCCAGGGGGGAGGATTTGGCGGCGGCCGGTCTGCCGGAGGGCGAGGCTGGACCGGCATCAGGGGAGGGCTGGAAAGTCGGGATCAGGTACGTGCGGGTGTATGTGGCGACATGGAAGAAGGAGTAGATGGCGAAGGGGAGCAGGGCGAAGAGCAGCTGGCGCGAGCACAGCCATACAAGGGCCATTCCTGATGTTGTCAGTATAATAATCCAATATCTCGTAAAAAAATATGTATATATGTGTGTGTGCGTGTGTTTGTGCGCCCTACCGAGATACTGGACGTTCTCATCGCCGGCAAGCTTGATGATGTCGGTTGGAATGTTGCCTCCGAGCCGGCCGCGGGCAACGTAGCCCTTGTAGACGACGATGCCGTAGGTAGCAGCAGCCGCAACGAAGGCGAAGCGGTACGAGCCCTGGGCGACGGTGGTGTAGGTGCTGAAGGTGATGCAGGAGAGCAGGTAGCGGAACACGGCGAGGATCAGCGTAAAGTGCCTACACCGTCAGCTTCTTCTTCTTCTTCTTCTCTGTCTCTTCATCACCGTCTTATTCTTCTATCTCTTTCTTTTTGTCTTCTCTTCTCGCCGCCGTTCAAGGGATCCGACGGGGGGGTGGGCAGGCAACCCTCAGCAGCACACGACATACCCTATGAACCACGCAAATCTGCAGCCGTCAGCATCGACACTCTATATAGCTGGAGCAAGCCCCAGAGAACCGCAATCATCACGAGAAAGGCCTTACTGGAGCGTCTGAGCCAGCATCTTGAGCCGCTCAAGCAGCGGCAGCGTCGCAGGCGGGGGAGGAGCCATAACGAGCGATTCAACAGAAGAAAATACAGGATGAGCAAAGTGAAGCAAAGGGAAAAGACAGGTCGAACAGCGTGAATCGAGTCGTCTTGCGGTCTGGTCTAGCTGTCTGGCTGGCTGGCTGTCTGTCTGATCGTTCTGTCCAGCGTGGTTGAAGTTGAAGTCGGAGTCGAAGTCGAAGAAGCGGA